GTGCTGCTGCTGCTGCTGCTGCTGCTGCTGCTGCTGCTGCTGCTGCTGCTGCTGCTGCTGCTGCTGCTGCTGCTGCTGCTGCTGGTGTTGCTGCTGCTGCTGCTGCTGCTGGTGTTGCTGCTGCTGCTGCTGCTGCTGGTGTTGCTGCTGCTGTTGTGTTGGTGTTGGTGCTGCTGCGGGCGGTGGTGCGGCTGCGCTGCTGCTTTGCGTGCCAGAATTGCTGCTGCTGCTGCTGCTGCTGCTGCTGCTGTGTGAGCCGCTGCTGCTGCTGCTGCAGCTGCCGTAGGTTCTGCTGCTGCTGCTGCTGCTGCTGCTGCTGCTGCAGCAGCACGCTGCGTTGCAGATCCTCGCAGACCTTCGATGCGGACTTGCTTCTTGCGCCAGAATTATTTATTTATTTATTATTTATTATTTATTTATTTATTTATTTATTTATTTATTTATTTATTTATTTATTTATTTGTTTATTATTTGCTGCAGGAATATCGGGGGCGGTGCGGCTGGCGGTGCAGAAGAGCAGCGGGCGGCTGGTGGCTGTCAAGACACTGCAGCTGAGCTGTCTAGACACTGCAGCAATCCGTTTGCTGTCGAACGAAGTTGGGGTGTATCTACAGTTGGATCATCCGAACATAGCGAAGTTGTTGGATGTTTTTGCTGACAAGCCTTTCCTGGAAGCAGCAGCAGCAGCAGCAGCAGCAGCAGCAGCAGCAGCAGCGGGCGCTGCGGCGACGGCAGCAGCAGCGGGCCCAAACGGCGCGCGCAAGCTCCCGCCCCAGGCTGCTGCTGCTGCTGCGCTTGCTGCTGCTGCTGCGAAGGGCGCAGCAGCAGCAGCAGCAGCAAGGCCCGCAGCGGCGCCCGCCACTGCAGCAGCAGCTGTCGGCAGGCGCCCCAGCAGCAGCAGCAACAGCAGCAACAGCAGCAGCAGCAGCGACAGCAGCAGCAGCAGCAACAGCAGCTGCTGCCAGCGCCAGCTCCCCAGCACCGCCACCAGCAGCCGCAGCAGCCCCCACCCCGCTGCCCCCACCCCTACCACCAGCAGCAGCAGCAGCAGCAGCAGCAGCAGCAGCAGCAGCAGCAGCAGCAGCAGCAGCAGCTGCTGCATTCGACTTGTAATGGAGCTTTGCACTGGAAAAGAACTTTATGAAAGACTTTTTCAAAAGAGAAAATACCCCGAAAGAGAAGCAGCAAAAGCAGCAGCACAAATGCTAGCAGCAATTAACTACTGCCACCAGCACTCCATTTGCCACAGAGACCTCAAGTGAGTTTATTTAATTAATTTAATTTAATTAATTTAATTAATTTAATTTAATTTAATTTAATTAATTTAATTTAATTTATTTATTTAATTCGATTTGCTGCAGGCTGGAGAATTGGGTTTATCTAGATGAACGAGAAGACGCGCCGCTCAAGCTGGTACGTTTGCTGCTGCTGCTGCTGCTGCTGCTGCTGCTGCTGCTGCTGTTTCAGCTGATGCTATTATTGCTGCTGCGTTTTGGCTGTGGCTGCTGCTTTGCTGTTGGCCGCACGTTTGCTGCTGCCGCTTTTTGAGTCCGCTGTTGCTGCTGCTGCTGGTGTAACTGCTGCTGCTGCTGCAGCTGCTGCTGCTGTTACTGCTGCTGCTGCTGCTGCTGCTGCTGCTGCGCTTGCCTGCTTCCCGTTCCCCTGCTGCCGCCGCTGCTGCTGCCTTCCACCTCGCGTCCGCTGCTGCTGCCGCTTGCGCTCCCGCCGCCGCTGCTGCTCCCGCTGCCGCTGCTGCTGCTGCTGCAGAGGCTAAGCTGCTGCTGCTGCTGCTGCTGCTGCTGCTGCTGTTTAGATTGACTTCGGATTTAGCTGCCTCTTCAAACCCAACAACCCCATGAGGGCTATGCACGGGACAGTTTATTATGTTGCCCCCGAAGTAATGGATGGCAAGTACAACCACCTCTGCGACGTCTGGAGCATAGGTAGGGTTTAGGGTTTAGGGTTTAGGGTTTAGGGTTTAGGGTTTAGGGTTTGGAACTTCGGGGCGGGGGCTGGGGGTGGGGGTGGGGTGTTGTGGGAGGGAGCTGCGGCTTGGGCTTTGGGTTTTCGTCTGGGGTTCGAAAGTTAGGGTTTAGGGTTTAGGGTTTAGGGTTTAGGGTTTAGGGTTTAGGGTTTGTGTTTTCAGGGGTGATTGTGTACATGCTGCTCTCTGGGACTCCTCCTTTTGGAGGCAAAACAGATTTGGAAATAATAATTAAAATTAAAAGATGCAGTTTGACATTTGATGGTCCTGGATGGAAGGGGGTTTCTTCTCTCGCAAAGTCCTTCATTTCTGCGCTGCTCAAGTGAGGGTTTAGGGTTTAGGGTTTAGGGTTTAGGGTTTAGGGTTTAGGGTTTGGGGGTCGGGCTGGGGGTGGGGTTTAGGGAAGGGTTTCTGTTCCCGCTGCGGCCCGAAGCGAGGAAGCGCCTGGGGTTCAGGGCCTAGGGTTTAGGGTTTAGGGTTTAGGGTTTAGGGTTTAGGGTTTGGCGCAGGCGAAACCCTCGGGAGCGGCTGACTGCAGCACAGGCGCTGCAGCACAGGTGGTTAGCAGCAACAGAAACGGAATTAAGAAGTTATCCAATTGACATTCAAGTTTTGAAAAGCATGCAGAGGTTTGCGTCTTGCACGACCATTCAACGAGCCGCCCTAGGTAGGGTTTAGGGTTTAGGGTTTAGGGTTTAGGGTTTAGGGTTTGGGGTTTGGGGTTGGGGTTTGGGGTCTGCGGGTTGGGGTTTAGGCCTTAGCTCTGGCTTGACCTTCAGGGTTTGCAAGGCAGAACAAGCAGCGAAAGGGAGCTTTTCTCTGCGTTTTAGGGTTTAGGGTTTAGGGTTTAGGGTTTAGGGTTTAGGGTTTAGGGTTTGGGGTTTGTGGCTCAGGGCTAATTGCTTTGTCTATGCCGAGCAAAGATTTAGACGAATTGGAAAAGCTGTTCTGGGCTTTAGACCAAGAGGGCACAGGAACGATCAAGGTGAGGGTTTAGGGTTTAGGGTTTAGGGTTTAGGGTTTAGGGTTTCAGGTTTAGGGTTTAGGGTTATGGCTGCTGAGTGTCTCTGCACCGATTCAGTTTGTCTTTGTTCATCAACACCCTTTACCTGTTCCTTCGCAATCGAATACTAAACCCTAAACCCTAAACCCTAAACCCTAAACCCTAAACCCTAGACGCTGATTTGGTGGTTTGCGGCAGGTCGAGGGTTTAGTGGACATATTAGTCACCAAACTCAAAATCCCAGAGGCGGAGGCGCGCAGGATTTTCCACCGCATAGACTTGACAGGTAAACCCTAAACCCTAAACCCTAAACCCTAAACCCTAAACCCTAAAACCTAGGGAGACAAAACACAGTGCAGCGCTGGCTGTGTCGAGGACTGTTACAGGGGGCATTCTAGTCTAGGGTTTACATTTCAGAGCGAGCGTTTGGGTTCGTGGTTTAAGGGTTTAGGGTCTAGGGTTTAGGGTTTAGGGTTTAGGGTTTAGGGTTTAGGGTTTGTTTGCAGGGGACCAGGAAATAAACTACAGCGAGTTTTTGGCGGCGACGTTTCAAACCCAAGTCTCCCTGAGTCAATCCTTGATTAGAGAAGCTTTCGAGAGGTGACCAAAACCCTAAACCCTAAACCCTAAACCCTAAACCCTAAACCCTAACTCCTGTGCCAGTTCTGTTCCTAGTGCGCGCAGCAACTCCTTCTCAGTGTGCCGGATTAGCACCACTGATCCCACAGTGTCCAGGGTTTAGGGTCCAGGGTCTAGGGTTTAGCGTCTAGGGTTTAGGGTTTAGGGTTTAGGGTTTAGGGTTTAGGGTTTAGGGTTTAGGGTTTGCGCAGGCTGGACGTGGACCACCGGGGCCAAATTAGCCTCGAAAATCTGCGGCAAATTTTGGGGGACTCTTATGGAGGGTTTTTGGCTGAAGAGATTTTGGCCCAGTGCGACATTAAGAAGAATGGAGTTATAGAGTTCGACGAGGTAAACCCTAAACCATAAACCCTAAACCCTAAACCCTAAACCCTCGACGTGGAGGGGGGTCGAGCCAGAGGCGCCTCAGCAGCGACTGACGGGCAGCAGCTCGGCCTTCTTCACACCAGCTAGCTAGCTAGCTAGCTAGCCATGGAGCTAGCTAGCCATGTAGCTAGCTGGCTGGCTAGCCATGTAGCTAGCTAGCCATGTAGCTAGTTAGCCGGGTAGCTAGCTAGCCGTGTAGCTAGCTAGCTAGCTAGCTGTGTAGCTAGCCATGTAGCTAGCTAGCTAGCTGGCTAGCTATCCGGCTAGCCACGTAGCTAGCTGGACAGCTAGCTAGCTAACCAGCCAGTTGGCTAGCTAGCTGTCTAGCTAGCTAGCTAGCTAGCCAGGCAGTTGGCTAGCTAGCTGTCTAGCTAGATAGCTAGCTAGATAGATAGCCAGGCAGTTGGCTAGCTAGCTAGCTAGCTAGCTAGCTAGCCAACTGCCTGGGTTGGGTTTCCTTGGACGCTGAGCGTTAAGGGTTTACGCTGTTATCCTGGTCTGCTGTTTAGGGTTTAGGGTTTAGGGTTTAGGGTTTGTGGTTTGCAGTTTATGGTGGCTCTTGTGGGCGCGGAAACCCTCGAGAAAGAAAATTCTTCCCTCAAATTGCCCGGGCCAGGAGAGGCTGACGTGGTAAGCAGCAGCAGCAGCAGCAGCAGCAGCAGCAGCAGCAACAGCAGCAGCAGCAGCAGCAACAGCAGCAGCAGCAGCAACAGCAGCAGCAGCAGCAGCAGCACTGTTAATAGTAATATTCGAAGGAGTAGTAGTGTCAGAAGTCTTAAATGCAGCAGCAGCAGCAGCAGCAATAGCATTAGCAGAGGCAGAAGCAGCAGTAGTAGCAACAGCAGCAGTAGTAGCAGCAGCAGCAGCAGCAGCAGCAGCAGCAGCACTAGGTGGAGGCAACTGGAGTCCCTGTTGCTCCAGCTGCTGCAGATACGTGCTGCAACAGCAGCAGCAGCAGCAGCAGCAAAAGTGGTGAAAGCTGCTGCTGCACAGCTGCTGCTGCGGCTGCAACACTATGTGCACTGTCTTCTTTCGTGCTGCTGCTGCTGCTGCTGCTGCTGCTGCTTCAGGTAAAGAAGGGCCCCACAGATTCAACGGAGGGGAGGAAGCAGTCCAGTAACCTCGAGCCCATGCAGCAGCAGCAGCAGCAGCAGCAGCAGCAGCAACAGCAAATGCAGGAGTCCGTTAAGCAGCAGTTGCTGCGGGAACCGCAGCTGCAGCAGCACGTACAGCAGCAGCAGCAGCACGAGGAAACGCCGCAGAAGCTGCAGCAGCCGCAGCAGCACGAGGAAATGCAGAAGCAGCTGCAGCAGCCGCAGCAGCTGCAGCAGCCGCAGCAGCTGCAGCAGCCGCAGCAGCTGCAGCACCAAACACTGCCGCCGCCGCAGCAGCAGCAGCAGCAGGAAACACCGCCACCGCCGCCGCAGCAGCAGCAGCAGGAAACACCGCAGCAGCTGCAGGAGCACAGTCGCAGCGATGTTGCGGAACCAGCAGCAGCAGCAGCAGCAGCAGCAGCAGCAGACACGGAAAGAGCAGCAGCAACGGCGGCAGCAGCACACTGCACAGGAACAGCAGCCGAGGTAGCTAAGCTAGCAGCCAAAGATGCAGCAGCAGCAGCAGCAGCAGATGCTGCAGCGAGTGCAGCAGCAGCAGCAGCAGCAGCAGGTTCTACACCAGCAAAGAAAGGAGGCGCAGATCCTGCAGCAGCAAATGCAGCAGCAGGAGCAGCAGGAGAATGCTGCGCCCCCATGAGGGGCCTCTGAAATTAGGGTTTAGGGTTTAGGGTTTAGGGTTTAAGATTTGCCGAACCCACTCGAGGGCCCCGCTGCAGAGTATCCCTGCAGCAGCAGCAGCAACAGTAGCAGCAGAAGCAGCAGCAGCAACAGCAGCAGCAGCAACAGCAGGCTGCCAGCAGCAATTTGTTTTGAGGGGTGCTGGGGTGTATAGGCAGCTGAGGTGTCTGTACACCTCGCCCACTCCTTCCATTTGTTTTGCTGCTGCTGCTGCTTCTCTTTTGCTTTTATACAGACACTTGTTTTCTAGAGTTCTGTGCACACTTTGCTGCTGCTGCTGCTGCTGCTGCTGCTGCTGCTGCTGCTGCTGCTGCTGCTGCTAGTAAAGACGCGTCAGAAACCTTCACTGTCTTTGCCCTCCATATGGGTCGGGCGCGTTGGCCTCATAAAGCGGCTGGCTAGCTAGCTAGCTGGCCGCAGCTTGATAGCTAGCGAGAGCTATCTAGCTAGCCACCTGTGGCTAGCTAGCCACAGCTAGCTAGCTAGCCACAACTGACTAGCTAGCCACACGGCTAGCTGGCTAGCCAGGGCTAGATAGCTCCCGGAGCTAGCTAGCAAGCCGCAGCTGGCTAGCCACCCAGAGCTAGCTAACTAGCCACAGTTGAAAAGCCAGCCACAGTTGGATGGACAGCCACAGCTAGCTAGCCACAGCTAGCTAACCACAGCTAGCTGGATCTAGCTGGATAGCCAGCTAGCCACATAGCTGGGTAGCTAGCTAGCCAGCCAAATAGCTAGCCAAACAGCTAGCCAGCCAAATAGCCGACACACTCTCCAAATGACCCAGCGCGCAGCCAGCTAGCCAGCTAGCTAGCCAACTAGCTAGCCAGCTAGCCAGCCAGCCAGCCAGCCAGCCAGCCAGCCAGCTAGCCAGCCAGCTAGCCAGCCAGCTAGCTATCCAGCCAGCTAGCCAGCCAGCTATTTGCCCACAGCTAGCTGTTCGTAAGCAGCTAGCTAGGACGCTGCGCTAGCCTCGGGCCAGCTAGATGGGGGCTGACTGCAACTCCAGCAAATAGCTAGCTAGCTAGCTAGCTAGCTAGCTGAGTAGCTAGCTAGCTGGCTAGCTAGCTAGCTGGCTAGCTAGCTGGCCAGCCAGCTAGCTACATGGCTGGACTGCCGCCGTTAGAGCTCTTCTCCCTCCTCGTCTTCTATTTCTGCTAGGCGCTGCTGACTCGATGACAAAGCCTGCAGCAGCAGCAGCAGCAGCAGCAGCAGCAGCAGCAGCAGCAGCAGCAGCAGCAGCAGCAGCAGCAGTTGCAGCAGCAGCACTTGCAGCTGCGAGCTAGCGCGGGATAGGGCGCCGCGAAGAACAGCAACAGCAGGAGTGCTATCGCAGCAGAAGTAGCAGCAGCAGCAGCAGCAGCAGCAGCAGCAGCAGCAGCAGCAGCTACAGAGGCAGCAGCAGCTGCAGCAGCGACGCAGTGACAGGAGCAGCAGTAGCATCAACAGCAGGAGCTGCAACAGCAGCAGCAGCAGCAGCAGCAGCAGCAAAACGTACAGCGCCGCTAATTGCTAAGAAGATGCAGCAAACGCCGAATTGGAGTATCAAAGGCTGCGCGCAGACCCCCTCACAAACCCTAAACCCTAAACCCTGAACCCTAAACCCTGAATTAGCTGGCAGCGAGAGCAGCAGCAGCAGCAGCAGCAGCAGATCTAGGGTTTAGGGTTTAGGGTTTTAAGCGAACCTTCCACGGCATCCCCGCCAGCACTTTAAACCACGGCTGGTACACGCAGAGGCCCTGAAGCACACCTAAACCCTAAACCCTAAACCCTAAACCCTAAACCCTAAACCCTAAACCCTCACAAGGGGTAGGGGCTGTAAACATCCGGCCTCAGAAGGAGGATCTGAAACCCTAAACCCTAAACCCTCACAGCCAGGCATTCATCTGCAGCCCAATATCTTAAACTCTTTGGGGTTTACTTAGGGTTTAGGGTTTAGGGTTTAGGGTTTAGGGTTTAGGGTTTACCTCTAGGCGAGACTGGCAGCGCTGAATTACGGACAGCTGCGCCAGGGGAGCCGCAGCAGTGCCCAGAATAGCTGCAGCCGCAGCACACAAACCCTAAACCCTAAACCCTGCTAAACCCTAAACCCTAAACCCTAAAGTGTTATGCCTAAACCCTAAACCCTAAACCCTTGGCTTCGAAGCATAGAGGCTAAACCCTTGACTCCAGCTGCTCAGCGGCACCAGCCTTTGATCCTTAAATCCAGGAATTATGCAGCAAGCCCTAAACCCTAAACCCTAAACCCTAAACCCTAAACCCTAAACCCTCACCAGATAGCCAGGCTCTCATGGTGTATTCTTCAAGTTGCTGCAGCCTTTTCTCGACGGAGTTTTCGTCTGCTTTTGGTCTTCGCTGCTGCCTTGGTTCTGCTGCTGCTGTTGCTGCTGCAGCATCAGCAGCAGCAGCAGCAGTAGCAGCATCTCCTGCTGCTGCTTCCTCCTCGGCTTCCTTCTTGCTGCTGCTGCGTCTGCTGCTGCTGCTGCTGTTGGCTCCGTTGCTGCTGCTGCCGTTTGCGCCGTTGCCGCTGCTGCTGACGCGCTTCCCTCCGCCGCCCTCGCCCCTGCTGCTGCCGCTGCTGCTGCTGCTGCTGCTGCTGCTGCTGCTGCTGCTGCTGCTGCTGCTGCAGCAGGCTTTGTTGTAAAGAAAAAAAGAAGCAGCAACTAATTCATCTACTGATCGAGACAAAATAAAAGGAAAAGAGCCTCTCCAAAAAGCAGCAAAGCCATCAGCCCGCAGCGTGAGCTGCAGCATGTCTCTTGCTGCTGCTGCTGCTGCTGCAGCAGACAGCAGCTCAGCAGCAAAAGACACAAACTTCAAAGGAGAAGCAGCAGCAGGAAAATAAACTGCTGCAGCAGCAGCACCAGGGACCTCCACCACCGACAGCCGCGTCGCCAGCAGCAGCAGCGGATAAGCAGCAAACTCCGCAGCCAGCTGCACGCAAACCCTAAACCCTAAACCCTAAACCCTAAACCCTAAACCCTAAACCCTAAACCCTAGGTGCTGCACTGCGGGCAATTCTTTCCAGGAAGTGACAGCAAACGCATTTTGGCTGCATGCAATTTCCACATAACGAATTCAATATGACAAACCCTAAACCCTAAACCCTAAACCCTAAACCCTAAACCCTAAACCCTAAACCCTAAACCCTTCAGCAAGACTCGCCTTGAGAAGCATAGGCGGCAGCAGTTCTGTGGCCAAACACTTCAGAAGAGGCTGCTGCTGCTGCTGCTGCTGCTGCTGCTGCTGCTGCTGCAGCTGCAGGTCCTGCTGCAGCTGCTGCAGCAAAGGAGACAAATCGGTGTCTGTGTCTCTTGTCTCTAATTCTCTGAGGCTGCCAATCACCCTTATACTCCCGTTGCTGCTGCTGCTGCTGTCGCTGCTGCTGCTGCTGCTGCTGCTGCTGCTGCTGCTGCTGCTGCTCTCTGCTAGGGCCTCCAAAGACTCCAGCTGGGGCTCAACTGCCTTTCCCCGGAAGAAGCCAAAACAGCGCCCTGCAGCCACAAACCCTAAACCCTAAACCCTAAACCCTAAACCCTAAACCCTTGGCTGTAAAACCGAAATTATTGTCCCCAATTCCTTACTTCAGGGTTTAGGGTTTAGGGTTTTTAGGCTGAAAATGTTGTTCCCTGGCGCCGTACCCTGCTAACGCTAAACCCTAAACCCTAAACCCTAAACCCTAAACCCTAAACCCTAAACCCTAGCTCACCAAGGAGGTCAAAAAGATACTGGCTGCAGAAGACAGTCTCTCTGTAGCAGTAACGAAGCAGCAACCAGTGCAGCCCGTCCCTGCGAAAAAAGACAAACCCTAAACCCTAAACCCTAAACCCTAAACCCTAAACCCTAAACCCTAAACCCTAAACCCTTGGCGACGAAGCGTCGGGCCTGAAGTTAAGACCTAGCCCTCAATTTTCATGCGGACTCCAAGCCTTGCGCGCTCAACCCAAACCCTAAACCCTAAACCCTGAAACCCTAAACCCTAAACCCTAAACCCTAAACCCTAAACCCTTACCGGCACAGCCTGTGCAAGCAAGAAGGAACAAAACCCCTGAAAAGGCCGCCGACTCCCTCGGCTTCGTAGACCTGCGGAGCCACAGCTGCACTCTAGGGTTTAGGGTTTAGGGTTTAGGGTTTGGGGCCCGAGTAAAGGCTTGAGCGCGAGCCTAGGGTTTAGGGTTTAGGGTTTAGGGTTTAGGGTTTGGCGAACCACGCGCAGGC